AAAAAAAAATCAAACTAACAATAATATTTCACGACACATGAAAATTACATGAGATCAAAATTTCCCTGTCCGGAAATTATGTTTCCCTGGAACCCGGCCACACTTGTTTGTTTACATGTTTTTCTGTTCATGTGTTCACGCTACAGCCACAGAACTGAGGACTGTGACAGAGACCATATGGCCCACGAAATCGAAAATATTTATTTTCTGGTTCTTTAGAGAAAAAGTTTGGCTGACTTCTGCTTTTCCATAACAACAAGAAAAGTGAAGTACAGCATGATCTAGGTTTATATATTTAGGGTTTTCAATTGTGACGTTCACAGGCGCAGACAATCCCTGTATCTCCCGTGTGTTCTTGATAGTACGCTAAACATGTTCATGTCGTATTTTATCACAGCATGATATTTACATTTGGCCAATAAGTAAATTAAATCTGCAGCAGTGCTACTCGATGGGAGTGATTGTTGCTGTAGCACTAAGGATTGAATTCAGAGCCTTGCGCTTGCTAGGCAGTCCCTCTATTATTTGAATCATATCTCCAGCTTTTTTTGCATGCATTTTTTTGGTTGTTGGTGGTGGTGGTGATTGTGGGGCTTGAACTCTGGGCTTGGGCATTGTCCCTCAGCTCTTCAGCTCAAGGCGAGCGCTCTACCACTTGAGCCACAGCGTCACTTGTGGTTTTCTGGTGATTTACTGGAGATAAAGAGTCTCACAGACTTTTCTGTCCAGGCTGGCTTTGAACCTCGATCCTCAGATCTCGGCCTCCTGAGTAGCTAGGATTACAAGCATGAGCCACCCGATGCCCAGCTATGCGTGCATTTTTTCTTTTTTAGGGTTGGTCTCACTGTATGCCTAGGCTCAGCTGATCTGAGCTTTGATCTTACTACTTTTGCTTCCTTATGAGCCAGTATAACAGGTGTGCATCACCATGCACACACTTCATGGGTTAAGATGAGTCTTGAGAACTTCTTTTGCCCTGGTTAGCCTTGAACCATCATTTCCCAATGTCTGCCTTCCAAGTAGCTAGTATTATGGGCATGAGCCACCATTTTTGGTTTCAACTTGGAGTGGTTTTTGTCCCCCAGGGAATATGTGACAGTAACTGGAGGTGGGTTTTGTTGTCATCGTTCAGGGATGTCACTGGAGACTCATAGTGAGGGCCATGAATGACTCTAAACACCCGACAACCCCAAGAATAAAAAAGTATCTGATCTCCAATGTCAACAGTGCTCGCTAAGCCGTCCTGGTTAACCAGAAACTGTGAGCCACTCTAGTTTCTAGATTATTCTTCAAATACAAAAGCGTTGCTACTTAGTGACATTAATTCATCCCCACCCCTATGCCATATTTATATTAATATTCATGAGGAGAAAAATAAATTTCTTTTTATGTTGTGGGTCTGTTTCTATGACTATTATCCATCTGTACTTCAACCTTCAAAATGGGGATAGTTTTATTCTCAACTGCAAGTCTAGCTGAATAATTCTTTCCTTATCCCTCAATCACTCAGCTTGATTTATATTAAAAATCCATGACTCTATTCTGTGTTCAGTTTCTGAAAAGATTTTGTACCCAATTCTTACATAGTAAAATAGCCTCCCTACATCATAAATGTCAAAGTAGAAATCCAAACAAAAGGTATACTGGTAATTTATGAGTTGGGTTTTGGGTGTGGGACAAAGCAAGAAAGCAGCCACTGAACCACTGTGCTGATCAGGACTTAAAAGCAAGGTATGGGGAGACAAAACACAAAAGTTACAAAATACTCAGATTTAGTGGATTTCAAGGCAGCAAATTTTCAAACCTTCATTAAAGGATGGGCACTGGTGGCTCATGCCTATAATCCTACCTACTTAGTAGTTTGAGATATGAAAATCAGGGTTCAAAGCCAGCCCAAGGAAGAAAAATCCATGAAACTCTTACATTCAGTTAACCACACACACACACACACACACACACCCAAAAAAAAAACGCAAAAGAAACGCACCAAGCAACAGAAACTAACGAAGAAACAGAAGTTACACCCACATTCAAGAAAGAACTAGGAAGGAACGAACTCAACAAAAAGGCATAGATAGATAACTAAACACACACTAAAAAAAACAATACATACAAATCACTTCCAAAAAAAACAAATCAATAAACAAAAAGAATGTACAGTAATCACTTTTTGTTAACAAATATTTACAAGTTTTCTGATCTTTGGAGAACGATCATATTACCTTGTGAAACAGAGGCATTCAACCTTTTAAAACCTCCCACCTTTTTATGCATTCTTGCTTCTTAAAACCGTACCTTTTCACCTGCTTCACCTTTGGGGCCATTTTCTCCAGCATCTCCCTAAGAGGAGGGAAGACGGACACATGTGAAATATCTGGGTGGTATGAAGCACTGAAGCTTTCAACAAAATTAAGTTTCCCTCAAAATACTCTATAGATAAAAATCTGCTGCAAATGTGCTACAGAACTAATGTACTTTCACTTAACCAGCTGTTGGATACCACTGCAATTAATTTTAAGACACGGAACATGGATGAAGAGTTTTAAGCCACACCATAAACAGAAATCCATCCTGTGTCTCCACTGATCAGCTAATTTCAACACGGAAGCCTCCTCTTTCTTTTCTCCTGTGTGAAGACTTCATCTCAACAATTCTTCTGTGACTCTAGTTTGCCACCTCTGTGTCCTTCATACCACACCTGTGCATCTAGGCCTTTGACTTCTCGTTATTCCTTCCTCTCCTCCCCCTCTATCTTCTTTTGTACCAGTACTGGGGCATGTCATTGGGCCTTAAACCCTGTCCCTTAGTTTTTTCTGCTCAAGTCTGAACCTCAGGTCCACTTCCAGCTTTTTGATGGTTAATTGGAGATAAGAATCTCACAGACTTTTTTTTTAACCTGAGCTGGTTTTGAGCCATGATCCTTAGCTCTCAGCCTCCTGAGAAGCTAGGATTTAATGCGTGAGCCATTGGAACGTGGCTTTTTTCCTTTTTAATCTGAATAAATCCCACTCTGTTTTCAAACCCACTTCTTCAGGGACTCAAAATTCATAGCGAAGACTCTGGATTGAACATTTCTTTCTGTCTAGGTATGGTTTGAATTTGTGGATTTTATTAGAAAACTTTTTGCCTGAGTCATAGTACAATGAGTTTAAGAACGTAATGCTTGTTATTTTTTGAGAATTCCTATGTTTGCGCTTTTACTCACAAAGCAATGCATCTAGGGCAGAGCTATTCACTTATTATCCAGGCCTTGACCCCTTCAATTCTGGATTCTTCAATGTAAGCCTCACACCATAGTAGAGTGGAAATATGGCCTTTGGAGTCAGGAAGACAGAGTCCAAATCTGGTACTCATTGGGCAATGGAAATTCTCTTTGCATCACATGTCTCTTGTGGAATGCCAGTGTAGGAATAAATGATAAGTTTCAGACTGTGCAGAGAGCAATTAGACCAGTATGGGGCACTTCAAAGGTGCCCTTGTTTGATGTTAATAGTAACCATGCACAATGGCACATATATTCCATAGGCTGCAATGTTCCTCTCTCTAGCTTCTGAAGAAGTCACTTCATAGCATTTTACAAAGCTCCTTAATATATAACTAGTTTCTTGGGAGAGAGAAATACCAAGAAACTGTCACAAGTAGCCTTCTCAGGCATTTGTCCGGGGTGATGGGATTCTGCGCAGTAAGCCGCGGCACCTGATGAACTTTATCTGGTACCCACAGGATGGTCTTGCCATCATTCCCTCTCCTTCTTCAGTTTCTACGCCAAGCCGTTGTCTGATGGCTAAACAATGACAAGTTCATTATCGTGGCCTGATTGCATGTCAAACACATACACTGGCAATCTATCATGAGGGACCTTGTTAGGCAGATTATTTGCATGTTTTTAAACACATATGCTTGAGAATGGGCACTGGTGGCTCATACATGTAATCCTAGCTACTCAGGAGGCTGAGATCTGAGGATTACAATTCAAAGCCAGCCTGGGCAGGAACATCCATGAGACTCTTATATCTCTAATTAACCAGCAAAAAGATGGAAGTGGAGTTGTGGCTCTAGTAGTAGAGTGCTAACGTTGCAAACAAAAACTCAGGGACAGTGCCCAGACCTACAGTTCAAGTACCAGGACAGACACACAAAAATAACATTTGCTTAAAAAAAATCCTTGGCCCATTGGACCAGGTATGGCAGCTCACAGCCATAATTCTAGCTACTGAGGATGCAGAGGTTAGGAGGATCATGGTTTAAGGCCAGCCTGAGAGCCTGGGAGTCAGAGAGACTGTTTCTCAACAATTAAGCTGGGCAGGTTGGGACATGACTATAATCCCAACCACATGAGAAGTGTAGGTAGGATGATCCCAGGCCAGCCAAGGAGAAGAATACAAGACCCTATGTGAAAAATAGCTAAAGCAAAGACAGGCTGGGGATGTATAGCAAGTACAGAACCTGTCTATCAAGTGTAGGGCCCTAAGTTCAAAACCTACTGCCACCAAAACACCCAAATCAAACCAAAAAGAAAAACAAAAGAAAAAGCCTTTATCAGGAAAGCTGGCTCCAAGTGGTTGTAAAGGGCTTGACAGAGATATCCCTTTATGAAATTGACTTTTATGACCCTCTGTTTCGCTTTCCTTCCATTTAACTAAGTCCCCCTTTGTCCCTTTTGTTTTAGGATGCTGACAAATACAGTACATTGAAAACTTCTGTCTTGATCCTTAGATGAACATCTTTGTGGAATCAGAGTTATAACATTGCTACATCAGAAAGATCCTACAATTTTGGGAAGAGCATGGTGATATAGTACCTTAGTCATTTCTAATTCAACTGGCAAACTCTTAAGCAACAGGAAAATGAACTAAGAGACTAAAAGGAATCAGGACAGGCCTAAAGTAGGAAGGAGGGAGCCTGAGAGGAATCTAACGTGCAACACTCTGCTTTTCTTTTTGTTTCTCGTCCTGGTTTTTATGAGAATTCTTTGTGGGGCAACTTCAGGTAATTGCTTCAGATAACATCTGTATCCCTTTAACCTAGTGACATGAGAAGTGGTAGACAGACACGTAGATGCTTAGATGAGTATTGGAATGGCACCAGTGATGGAGGAGAACAGAGGTTTGGGCTGGCTTATGGATTTTTGAAAAATTTAAACGTTTCACACAGAATGTTTAAATTTACCCCCCTTCTCTCTGAATCTTTAAGCCTTTTAACTCAAACTCTATCTAAGAATTACACTATTTTCTTTCATGAATCAAGTTTGAAAGACACACAGATGAACATAGTCATTGTCCCCACTCCACCTGTCCATCCAATCCACTCATCCCATCCATCTATTCATCCATCCACCCATCCCATCTGTTCAGCATCTATTCATCCACCATCCTTCCATCCATCCACACATCGCCTCTGTCTGGCCATCTGTCCATCCGCCCCATCCCATCCATCCCTTCCATCCACCCATCCATCCATCTTTGGATCCCATTTTTTCAGTCCATCCACCATCCATCCATCTAACCATCCATCCATCCATCTTATTCTATCCACCTCTTTCACCCACCAATCTACCCATCCATTCATCTGTCCATCCCATCTATTCATCCATATGTCCATTCAACATCAATCTAACCATCCATCCATCCATCTATCCATCCACCCATCATATCTGTTTGTCCATCTATCTTTCTAACCATCATCCATTCATATAATCTATCCATCTTGTCCATCTGTCTTCCATCCATCCATCCATTCAATCAGCCAGCCATCTATCCATCTATTTACCCATCCATCCATCTACCCATCTATCTATCCATCCATCCTTCCAGCTAGAACAGTTTGGGTAACTCTTGGAATTAAGAACACAAATATACACAGAATCTTCTTACCTTTTCTCCTTGCTCTCCAGGTTCTCCCTGAGCAAAGGAACAGAGATTAGGTGACTTTAAATGATCAAACACCTCATTAAGAAACATCAAACAAATGAGATACTTAAATAGGCTAGAGGAATTGTGCTTGACTTTTTGATTTGGGCTACAGTTTCTACAAAGAGAGTTGAGTTCTTCTATAAAGCAGTTGAGTTTCCTGAGGAACTGGGTATGTTTGTCAATACTTGCTGTAATTGCTTTTGTAGGGATAAAAACCTGCACAGAATTATCAAGATGTGTAACAGCAGGTGGTAATTCAGTATCTGGAAAGGCTTCTTTATTATTTTTTTCTGCCCAAAGTCAGGATCAACAAGGTAGTTTAGCATGTCTTTCCTCAAAGCCTCCTTTTCAAAGCGTACCTGGATGTACAGATCATTTCAGGGATATGAAATTCTCTAACATGAGCATAAACACTCATTCCGGAAGTAAGGTCCCTCCACCATGTCATGAACTTTAAATGTTGGTAACCAGTATGTTTTCCCTCATGCATATTTTATCAAGTGTTTAATACCTTCAGCACTGATACCAGAAAGGCACAAAATCTCAGTGCATTTAGAAGAAATGCTCTTTTCTCAAAATAACAACCAGGAGGTAGATGTGGTACTACGTGCCTATAATCCCAGCATTCAGGAGGCAAAGGCTGGAGGATTATAAGTGTGAGGCCAACTTGGGATACATGGCAAGAATCTGCTGATGTATAGCTCAGGGGTAGAGTGCTTGCTTAGCATGTGCAACACCTTGGGTTTGATGTGAACACCACAAGAAAAAAAAAAAGACCAGGAAAGCATGAGGACGACAATTCAAAACTGTGCTTTGAAAAGTATTTCCCTTTAAGTTTGTTCAGGACAGGACAGAGGATGGACAGTACACGTTCTATAACGTATCATAAACATTATGCTGATATTTTTCTGATAAAAAGCTGGACTGTTGCCACAAAACCAGAATGCTTAGTTGGCCTTAAGGCAATTATTGTGGGCTTAAACACATAACCCATTCTGGAAGTCACTCTGGAGACAAAAACTCTTCATTCTCTGACCATCAACTTGACCCCCCCTGGCCGCCTGCATTTCTAGCCATGTTCACTGCTCAACATCCACCATGTTCTTAGGTTGCTAGGCAACCTAAGAACAGCATCATGAATATGCATTAAATATTAGCTCCTCTCATGTGGCTTTGTAGCATGGAGCAAGAGAGGGAAGGAGACAGAAAAATGGCTGGAGTCCCAGAAGGAATATTTTCTTTCTTCTCTTAAAGGACAAAGGACAGGTCTATACTGATTTTTAGGCCTGTCCTAGGCGCCTGTCAATTGCCATGGATGTGCAAAATCAGCTGACAGACATCTGTGGGTGTGGATATGCACCAGCACAGCTGCTGGGATTAGGCATTCGTTTCATACTTCAAGGGATGCTCACTCATCAAAGGACTTGGGATTTGTTTGCCTGTTTGGTTGAAACTAAACTGTCACCAATCTTTTTATATGTAACAGATTCATTTGCCCTTCAAGAAACATAGAAAATGTGTAACCCTCCTTCTAAAGTCATTGCATTTTTTCTCTATTTGGTAATTCCAACTATATCCATTTTTAAGTTTTTAAACATGTCATAGCTCTATTCTGCTCTTCATCTGACTAACAGGTTATGCTGTGTGGAGGTTGAAGGTGTCCAAGTCTTGAGGAACAGCCATTGTGCCAGGATGAACCTCATTGGGAGTGAGGCCTGGAAATACATATATTTTAGGCAGCATGGATGTAATCCTGCTTTCATATGCTCATTTAAGAGGTAAAATGATCAGAGAGAGAGAGAGAGAGTGTGTGTGTGTGTGTGAGTGTGTGTGTGTTGGTACTGGGGCTTACGTGTAGGCTTTGCAATCTCACTCCACTTTTTTGCTCATGGCTGGTATTCTACCACTTGAGCCATACTTCCGGTCTGGTGTTTTTTGCTGGTTAATTGGGAGATGGGGTCTCACAGCCCATTCTGCCTGGCTAGCTTCAAACCTGAACCCTCAGGTATCAGTCTCTCTTAAGTAGCTAGGATTACAAGGCACGAGCTGGCAGCAGTCATTTTGAGATAACATTCTTACGTTATGTCACTGTTGCAGAAGTGCTTTAGACAACCATGTTCTATTTCTTTGTTTTTTATACTTTTTATACTTAATGAGGATCATAAAAATGATTTATTCCTTAGTCACAAAGTTCTCTAATATAACGTTATGACACTATTGACAAAAATTCCATTCAAGAAACCTATGGGATATAAAATGTTAGAAGAGCTTATCACAGCGTGGAAAGCTGTTTGATGAATGGTTCTGCATGGCTCTATTTATACTGACCTTCAGTCCCGGAAGTCCATTCTGTCCTGCTGCTCCAGGCAACCCAGGCTCACCCTCAAAACAAAAAGTAAGTACTACTAAGTAAAATAGGCAAAACCTGTCCATCATATGGACAACTAGAAGAGATAATCATCCAATAATGATCTGGAAGTACAGAGAGGGTAAGCGACTATTCATATAAATACTACACAATCAATGTGTAGGCCTCAATTTCATGTTAGAGAGTACAGGGTTAATTTCCTCTGTGCAATCTTTCATCCTTAAGAAAGCTAAAATAAATTACTAGAGGAGATTATTATCTACATGATGCTAGGCACATTGCATCGATAAGTATTTGTGGAATAAAGGGCACTTGACAATGTAAGACTGATCTGAAGACTTTTTCCATGATCCATCAACTCAGGAAAATAAAGACTGTTAGTTCTAATCAAGTTAATATTTGCCATCTGAATCTCAAAAAACAAAAACAAAAACGTGTCTTTGAACACCTAGACACAGATGCCATGTAAATACAAAATAAATGGTTTTGATTTCATTTTCCAATTGTATTGTAAGACAAATTGAAGCTCCAGACTTGAGTTTCTCATAAAGTGTAAGGGAAAAAAATGGTGGCCACTACTAGGTTGAAAACTGTCTGGTTTTAGAAAGATATGCACTAGTTATTATAGACCCTGATCAATGACTGTCTTCCAAACAGAGGGGGGTAAATCCATTAAAGGACCCAGACGTGAAGACATTTTGTCCCATTATATTTCTAAGTGGCTCACACTTACATCCAAGAGAACTTTCCTTTCATTTAAGAAACATTCTTAATACCCCGACTTCCACTGCTGGGTAGCTTTCTTCCTTTCAGAGAGAAGACAAGGTACTTCATAGTTGATTTTTTTTTAAAGACTTGATTTTGTTATTCTTTTTAAGATTGATTTGAAAGAAGGTTTTATAAGTCACCCAAAGAGCAGGAATTGAGTCATTTTTATATTTGTTTTCTCAACTTGGAAAACATGCCTATAGGCAATATTTCTCAAAGGCCAAGATCTTTATATTCACTGAAGAAGGCCAAGTATTCTTTGTATCTATTTAACAGGCAAAGAAATTAAGATGTGGAAAGTTATTTTTTTCAGTCCTTTTTTAAAAAATGAAGTCGATGGACAAAGAAATTACAAGCCCACATTCTGGTGAGAAGTACAGGATCTTGACCAATGTTACCCCTTCCACTATTCTCCCTCATTTTTCTTTCTCCCCATTCTTATCCTCAATTTATGTGGTTCAATTATTATATAATGGATAATGAATATAATGACTACATTTGTCCAGATTTACACAAATATAGTCAAGATTTGATTGTCATGGTTTGGCTTAATAATATACTCAAAATGCCTTTTTCACTATTGAATGAATGAAGAAGTAATCTAGGAAATATAAAAAATCTAGAAATCTGAAGTAAGTAGGGGATGTATTTCTAATCTTGTTATCAATTGGTTATACATACCATTTATAAATAACCTTCTAGAAGAGAATGAATTCAACATTACTCATATGAAGACATTTTATATGTAGTTACTAGACACATGAGACCACTATCTGTCTAGAAGAGTAAAAATGTTCTTCCTGGGGTTCGGAGGTATGGCTCAGTTGGTGGAGTGTTAGCCAAAGCTAACTAGACCAGACTGAGTCCTAGTTTGAAACCAAAAAAATTACCTTCCTGGGGGCTGGGAAGATGGCTCAGTGGTAGAGCGCTTCCTTGCATGCCTGAGGCCCTGGGTTCGATTCCTCAGCACCACATAAGCAAAATGAAAAAGCCGGAAGTGGCGCTGTGGCTCAAGTGGTAGAGTGCTAGCCTTGAGCTGAAGTGCTGAGGGAAGTGCCCAGGCCCAGAGTTCAGGCCCCACAACTGGACCCAAAAAAAATTACCTTCCTGGGTGATTATATTATTATATTTGATCACACTCCTTGTTCTGGATTATCACAATTGCTAAAGTCTGCACCTTCTGGAAGAAATTCTGCTTCCTGTATAAAGTCACATGAACTGCAACTCATGCACTTTTTTGTTGTTGTTAAGATGACAAATCACTGACTGAGAACAATGATGACCATTATTGGAAAGTTTTGATATGCCATCTGTACAAAACAGAGGCCGAGAACTTGGAAAGAGAATACATCCTGAAACAGGACTATCAGTTACCCTGCAGCCAGCAAGAAGAGCTATTCAATCTGTTTTCTTCAAACAGTCTACAACAAGATGCACTAATATCATAACTCATGGTTCTAATGCAAATAGATGCTGCCAGGGAACAATACAAACTTTGTTTGGACTTTCAAAGAATAACCACGGTAGCCAGAATTATTTTTCTTTAATGCTTAAGCCCCTGGAACTGGACAGAATTCATGCTAAGATTTGAAGCAGAAGAGAAATGTTGCTTAGGTATCTGTCTAACATCCTCTTTAATATATCAACAGCAAGGGACCAAGACTTGATCTCTTTTCCTCTTCGATTGTATAATAAGCTTATTTGGTCTGTTGTCTTTTATAATCTTTTACCTATGCTCACATAATTCCAGGCAACTGTAAGCATACTTTGTACTATGATGTTCTGATTTTTTAAAAAAAATTTATATAGCCTTCTGAGTAGTTTGATTACCCTGTTGAAGTTAGGTGCGATGAATTAATTAGTCTCCCATTGTCTAACACTCAAGGGGGGGGGTCCAATTTTTACTCTTAAACATAGAATAAAATAAACACCTCAGCATATATAATTACATTTTCCTGCAAGATTCTTTAATGATGAAAACTCCCGAGCTTGTTTTATAGTCCCAGGAAACATTTTATGACATTGTTTTTAAGCTGCTTTCGGAAAGAGTTTGACATTTCATTTGCTCTTATAGTCATCTGTTCTGTGTTACTTTTTCACTCTCTTCATCAGCTTTGGATAGCACCATTTTAATTTTGGGGGCTTTTTAATAAGCACAAAGAAGAAATTGCTGTTGCTCAATTTTCTATTTCTTTTCCACTTTCAAGTTAAATATTTTCACATGTGTTTCTAATTTAAATAGGTGCTCACAAAATCTTAGGCTGAATAATGAGGCAGAAAAGAAAAAAAATGGCTAAGAGCATCTTACTTCCAATAACCTATAAAGTTAGATTAGGGAGCTCTAGGACATTCTATCCTTGCCCAAAGTTAGTTTGTGAAGGTTATGTGATAGGAATAGTTAAGATGAAGTACTCTCCAACTCAGAGAACCAATGCTGAGCAGCTATGAGCATGTGTGAGGCTTGAATTCATTTACCTAACAGCAAAAGTATACAATAACACAAATGACAGTGCTATCAAAGCATAAAATGAGCTATTTTTGAAAGAAGTTTGCTGGTCAAACTTCATTGAGAAGTGTTTGCTAAAGGACAGACAGACATACAATATAATTTGAAAAAAAAGAAGTAAAATGTGGCAAAGTAGCTAAGAACTTAGGCATCACAGAAGATAGCTAAATTGAATTCATCATAACGCTCATCGGATTTGACGATCCAAGTTAGGGTACCCAGAGGACATATGGGTAAACCCTCTCTTTATCTCCCACAACTACACACTACTCCCCCCATTCCCTCACTTTCTCTTCCAGTCTCCATTCTCTCTCAGTTCTCAGTTCAGTTTTCGCCAGGAAGAGCCTGAGGGGTCATGTGTGAATCAAGGTGTGCAAACCCCATTCACTTTTCCTCACCACCATTTTCTCCATTGCTACTCCCTGCCAATTTTAGAGCCATCTGCACCAATGCTGCGATCTACAGAGCCTGGGGAAGCAGATACAGGACAGGCTGAAGCAGGAATTCTTCACTTCTAAATAGCTAGGACTTGATTGCAAAACGGGGAGATTCTGAGTAGGCATGTCCCCTCAACCCTGCGATCCCCACACTTCAAGATTGATACCCCAGATGGCTAAAGAAGGCTTAGGTGAAAGGCGTTGCTTGCCTGTATCCAAAGGCAACACTATGCACTATTTCCTTTCAAAAATAAAACTTTGAAAGGCCCCAAAAGTCAGCTCAAATAAGCCAGAGAGCCTGAGCCTGCAGTGATGCTCTTTTCTGTACATAAAAAAAAAGGTTTTCTCTGCATGTGTTCTGGTGGGGGAAAAAGATTAGGAAATGAAAGCTTATGATTTAGGGAGACAAACTATCAGGGAGTCAGATGAAGGGGAAAAGTTTTTAAAAACTGGAGAAAGAGCGAACCACCATAGCCCGTCTTCCTCGTGTTCCAGGAAATCTCCTCTAAATTAGACCATTAGCGCCCACTGCAACTTTTGATTAGACTTAGGATGCTAGAAGTTATAGCCGCAGTAGGCAACGAACATCTGACATTCCTCTAGCCAGGGGCTGAGGATGGGAATGACCTGTGTCTTCAAAGGGTGGTGGGTGTCTGGATTCACTCTGTGAATGTAGACAGAAAAGGAGGAAGCTTCAGGGATGACAGGCAGCCCCCTGACATCCCAGAGGGGAGCAGGAACTAGGACAAAAGCAGCATTACCGAAGAAGAATGAAGAGATGGAGGCAACTCTGATCTTAGGGACGAGGGTTCGTTGCCTGGCAATGCAGAGCGGAAATCCACATCAGTGTTGGACTTTGAAGTTTCCGTAAGTTGAAGAAGTGCCTTTATTTTTACATCTGGCTCTGTTAAGTTTTAGACTTTGTAACATAACATCCCCTTGAAAAGATATCTACTTTATGTATGTATATATACATATAGATGTTTTAAAATCCAGCTAATATACTTTCCTAGAGTTCTTAATAATAAACTTATATATAGTTTGAACACTTCTTTTCTCATGAAAAGAAAAATGTACTTAATTATGAATAGAAATTTTAAAGGGTTATGTTCCACTAGAATTCTAAAGGTCAGAAAGAGCACAATGAGATAATACCTTTTTTTTTTTTTTTGGTTGGTCGTGGGGCTTGAACTCTGGGCTTGGGCACTGGCCCCTCAGCCCTTCAGCTCAAAGTTAGTGCTTTACCACTAGAGCCAAAGTGCCACTCCAAGTTTTCCAAGTGGTTAACTGGAGATCAGAGTCT